AAGATACAAATAGATATATAGAAACTTGCATAAATTTAGTGTTGAGGTTGACAAATTTTTTCTAAAAGGACCAGTAAATATTTTAGGTTTTGCAGGCATACAATCTCTATTGCACTACACAACTCTGCTATTATAGCAGAGAAGCAGCCAAGGACAGTATGTAAACAAATGAGTATGGCTGTGTTCCAGTAAACTTTATTTACAAAAACAGGTAGCTAGCCATGGCCAGTAGTTTGCTGACTTTGAAGTCATATGTTTTGCTAATATATACATAAATAACTATGATACATACCATTTGAATAAAATCAGGTCAAGACCTGATCTTATCAGTAGAAGTTCTTCATCCCTCACTTGAATTAAAAAATCAATCAACTGAGACGATCAGTGCTGCCTTTGAAGAAAGGTTATTTAGTCTAAGATTATTTTACCTAAAAAGCAGAAGCTAATCTGTCAGTGTTTAAGACTTCTGAAACAGTATAGTCGTGTTCTTTATCACCTCTGAGCAGGAGGTCGATGAACCAACCGTAAGCCAGTGTAAGAGGTAATATTGTTTTGATCGCAAACTGTACAACCCAAAACTTAACTCCCAACTTGGTGGGCTGCTGTGGCTCTCCCATTCAGAATGGGTACCTCTGACATCTTATTAATAGTCCTCCAATTGCTTTTGATAAGGAAGCATTTTTAGGATTCTTTTTTGCTCAAGTCTATTCTCTCCGAGCACCACTATAATCTATTTCAGTGACAAATCTTAATGTAATTGCCTTTTCAAAACCCTTTGGTGGCTTTCCATCACCTAAGTTTCAGACTCTTGAGAGTGACACCTGGTTCCCTTAATGATCTGGTTCCTCCTAACCTCTGCAATCTCATCCACAACTACCACCTCACATTTTATATACCAACATAAGTTCTTAGGTAGGTTATTTATTACCTATTCTATAAAGTAGACTTAGTTCTTTGCAGATCTTTTATATACCATATAGATTCATACATATGTGCCTGAAATGCCTGACTTCCACACTCTTAAGCTTGAATAATTACCTCTTAATCATTATTTTTGTGCTTCATATATACTTCTTATATGGCATATACTGCTTCATATACTGCATATCATCTGTGTTTTATTTATTTGTTCACATGTCTGAATGTCTCTTCTACTCTATGGTGATGAGCTACTAAAAGACAAAGCTATTCATCTTAGTATTTCCAATTCCATGTATTCGTTACCCTGCTTCACCAATTATCAGTCTTCCTTTATCTATACCTACTGCCACCCCATCTAGATTATTTTAAAGCTAAAACCCAGATACTACATCATTCAATCTGTAAATATTTCAGAGTGTATGTCTAAAACATAGGGACTCTTCTTAAATATAACCATTTAATGCTAAAATAATAATAATTCCCTGATATTATCAACTAATCAGTCAGCATTCACATTTCTGCAGTTGTCTCATTTTAAAACTTTGAGTTGAGTTTCTGTAAGGTCTATACAGTTCAGTTGGTTATATTTCTTAAGTTTCATTTAAACTATAAGTTTCCTCTCATTTCTTATTATTGTTGAAGAAAATGGTATTTTGTCCTGTGGAGTTGTTCACAGTGTAGATTTTGTTCATTATATTCCCGCAGAGTCATTTATTATGCTCGTCTGTGCACTGTGTTTCTGGTAAGTTAATAGTCAGATTTAGGCTTAATCAGATCATTTGATTAAAGGGGTGGGAGGCAAGAATACTATATAGCAGTGTTGTGTTCCACCAAAAGGTATATAATGGTCTTTTTTCTCTTGCTTTGTGTGATGGTAGCCATTGATGAACTTTACATAGATCCATAATTCATTAGGAGTTGCAAAATGCTAATATTTTAATTGTTATTCCTTTCTCATTTTTTTAAAGCTGGAATACATCTATAAAGAGAAATTTCCTTTTCTCAATCGTATGATTACCTCGAGATATAATTTTAAAATACTAAGACCTTTAGATATTACAGAATGAAGGAGTCAGTTTCACAAAAGATATTTAAGGCAAACTAATAGATTTTGAGTGTCAAAGGGAGATAGTGAATTTACCTTTAAAGTAAATTTCTAAAACTTAGCAACTCCTTTATAAATGTTCAAAACATTAAATTTCATGGGAATATAAATCTCAACTAAAAAAACCTCACATTTAAAAATAAGAATTAGGAAAGTCATTCTTTAGTACAAAAAATTTAGTCAGTCAAACTATTATTCATTTTCAAAATATGTATTACTTTTATGAATAAACAAAACCACTTTTTAAAAAATAAGGCAGTAAAATGCACACCCCATGTTGGACCAAAATATCTTGTCTTATAATAAACTATTGAGCTTCCCCTTTGCTTCCATTATGGTGCCTTTCTCAGTATCTTTCGGTGATTCCTCCTTTTTTTCCTCCAACCTCTTGCTATTAACTGTACCTAATTCAGAACTGAAATTTTAAAATACTCTCTTCAGTAAATAAAATAAAAATCATGTTCCATGTTATCAGTCCTAAAATGAATGGGAATCCAGAGCATGATGGAGACCAAGATACCCTTACCCTAGTATGGAGATATGAGAGGAATCTGGGTTTAGAAGTAGGTATATTCATGCATTATTCCAATAAATAGACAATATTTAACACTTGGGGATATCAAGACAGTGTTTAGCATTATCAACAGAACTACTTTTATTGTTATCTGCTCTGTTATTATATTAACAAAACAATACTAACTTAAAAAAAAAAGTGAGTCTGCAGCCATGCCACCCTGAACAAGCCTGATCCCGCCTGATCTCGGAAGCTAAACAGGGTCAGACCTGGGTTAGTGCTTGGATGGGAGATCACCTAGGAAGACCAGGTGGTGAAGGCGTAAAAAATAAAAAATAAGGGATTGTAAGATGACGAGGTCCTTGCAATCTGTGAGGTCAGCTAAGGGTTGCTTGCCTAAAAATAAATAAACAAACAAACAAATAAACAAATTAAGTAAGTCTATGGCAATGCCACCCTGAACAAGCCCAATCCCATCTGATTTTGGAAGCTAAACTACACAGGGTCGGATCTGGTTAGTACTTGGATGAGAGACCTAGGAAGACCAGGTGCCGTAGGCGTAAAAATAAATTTAAATAAAATAAGGGATTGTAAGCTGACAAGGCCCTTGCAATCTGTGAGGTCAACCAAGGGTTACCGTGCCTAAAAAAAAAAAAAAAGTGAGCAAAATTTTTCCTTTTTTAGCTCCCCCCCCCACCAAAAGGGTCGGATCTGGTTAGTACTTGGATGAGAGACCTAGGAAGACCAGGTGCCGTAGGCGTAAAAATAAATTTAAATAAAATAAGGGATTGTAAGCTGACAAGGCCCTTGCAATCTGTGAGGTCAACCAAGGGTTACCGTGCCTAAAAAAAAAAAAAAAGTGAGCAAAATTTTTCCTTTTTTAGCTCCCCCCCCCACCAAAAGCCAACCTTTTTTATAAGGTTGAAGAGTTTGAATGAGACAGAATGAATTTGGTAACAATTGAGATTTTTTAAATACTGAGATTCATTTCCGAGTTAGATTTTAGAATCTTTGGTAGATGTATTTGAAATAGACCAAACATTTATACTCTAGCATCGGGTAAAACCACTTGTTTCTCTCCTCTAACACTTGCTAGTGATTGTTTTTTTGGATTGGTCTTTTTTCTTGGATTGGTTAGATATAAGATTTCGGTTTGAATTTTTTTGGGGGTAGTAGGCAAAGTAGGCCTGCTTAGGTCTAGGCAAAAGGCCCTCCAGTACTCCAGTCTGGCTCCCTGGAGCTCCACAGTGGGGTCTGCTTCCTGTGCATGTATAACTCTTGGTGGTCTCAAAGGGAGAAACTGTCTAGGCAGGATTTGGCTTTTCTTGGTCCTAGCATGGTACTAACTTAATTTCACTGCCAATTGATGCTAAGAGTAGGTTAGGATGTTTAGGATACTGTCTCTTGGATATATATTACATCTGTCTATACTATCTATTGTTTCCCCCCACTACCATTTTAGGGAACTCCTAGAGTTCTGAGTGACTTTTTTTTCTGTTTCTGCACTGTTCAGATTTTCTAAAGTGAACGTGTTTTACTTTTATTGAAAACACCTTTAAAAAAATAAAGTAGACTACAGTGAAATCTTTATCTAGAACTAGTACAGTTTGCTTTGAGTAGAAAGGAAAGAGACTAGAGACTATATAAACTCTTAAGTACAATTCTGTGGTTAGGTGGCAAAAGCAACTTGCAAGTTAGGTGAGAACAAAAATTTATGACAAGAATACCGAGATATAGGGAAGGACCTTAGACAAAAGGTTTATAGTTTAGAGTAGGAAAGAAGCAGATGAGACATAAATACTGCTGTGTATTCAAAAGTAGAGCCTGACAAAGCTGAAACCCTTTCTAATTATTAACTTTTGATCTGACTCAGTAATCTCATGATAGGCACATCAGTATATCAAATAGTAAAGTAAAGCAAAAGATAAAATTATTTGTCCATGCCCAGAAATAAAATTCAGAAATAGGTAAACCCCTTCTGTGTCTCTTTGCCCTTTACCATAGCATCATAAGCAGCCTGTCTCTGTGTGTATATCTTAGGAAAAGGAAATTGGTTACGAGTGCTCTGGAATGTAGAAGCTGAGTCCACCTAGTCAGATAAGTTCAAACAAATCTGATAAGTTATATCAGAACCAATTTTATAAGCTTGAAAAAGTTTTTCGGGTGTCATTCTTTTTCGGGTGTCACTGCTCAAAATGAAAGATTTTATTTTTAAAGGGCCCTTCTACTATGTCGGAATGTTCCCATTAAGATATTAGAAAGTCATTGTCCTGGAAATGAAAAGCTTTAGCTTTCCCTAGTGCTGAATCCTCTAGTTTTGGAGAGTCATGAATTAAGCCAGATGCACCAGAAGAAAATGATCAGTAATAAAGTATGAATTGATGGATTTCCCTTTGTTGCCAGAAGTTAGGGGAAAGGAGTTATGGGGGTGTTTGTCAAAGGTCTGTTTTTCCCTAGTAGGTGTGGAGTTTCCAGAAGAAACAAACAGATCTCCTCATCGCCTTTTATAAACATAGAATTACAAAGTTAGAAGCAGTTGTGCAGGAGGCACAGCAAACAGTGACCAGCCAGGACAAGTAAGTAACACATCAAATCACCAGAGAGCTCTTTTTCTTTCAGATAAGCTGTGGCCCTTAATTTCTTATGGTTGCAAAGCCTGAAAATTGCTCCATGTGTTTATGTTTGTTTTGAGCAAATCAGGTATGGAATTTTTGGTTCCCTCAATCTCCATTTTATTTTTCTCTTTCTTCCCTCAAGGGTCCCTCCTCCCTTCATAGCTTTTCCTCTTCTGCTTCCCCCGATCAAAAACTGCTGCTTCAGAGGAATCAGATATAACGTTTTTACAGTGATAAGATAAGAGACATTTGAAACGTTACCTCTAGGAGGGTATATTTTAGAAATCTTAAGCTAAATAGTAGAATCCTTGATGAGAATTTTCTGACATCAGCAGACCAGAAGTGTGTGTGGACAGGAAATGGAATCCTGTGTAAACTCCTCTGCAATCATACCAACTGCTTATTTTAATGTCCAGTTGATTCTTCTCACTATTAAAACTCTGCCATTGTCCCCCTGAATCACTAGATCTCTGACAGAAATACCATATGCAGTGGCAAGTGTCTCTCCATAAGCATTAACTAGATACTGATAATAATAAAAATCAGGTTTTTTATCCCATTGAACTGCTGGAGCTGATTGTTTTCATCTTTTACCTAGAGAGCTGTCTGTCTTAAGGAAGGAGAATGGAGAATTGAAGAAATTTCTAGCCATCCTGAAGGTGAATGAAATGGATTTCCCTTACTATTATTTTCTCTCCTACTTTGCCTATCTATCTAGCAGACTGAACAGAATAGTTTCCTAAACTTTTTCACTTCATGGTACATATAAGTGATAATGTGTACAACAAACACACTGTAGCAAATGGATGAAGACACAGAAGGCTGTGGAGGGCTGAAAGGATCAATATTTAACACACTGGTAGCCCATTCTCTACGGAAATCTTTAGTAAAAGGTGAAAGATTTATATGATTTGAAGATAAATCAGAGTATGCTCATTCTCGAATATCAGTAACAACATACCATTTAGAAAGCTCTCTTATAGAAGAGGCATCTGTTATAACTTAAAATTTTTCTTCAAGAATCTCAAGACACCTCAGGACCCTTCCTCTCCCTCCAACTCTATTTCCTAGACATTTCTCTCTTCCTAAGAATGTTGTTTGTATTTACATAATGTTTCTATTGATCCTACTGCTGTAACTATTCTAGTGTATTGTAATCCTGTCAGTTTTCTTTCTCTCCCTATATTTCTCCACGTATTTCAGTCTACAGGATTCCCAAGGTGTTTTTATGAAGGGGAACTAAGATTTTATTCCTTCAAAGCTAAAAATTTCCTAAGGAAACACTGCTGCTATTTTTTCTCCTATTGGAAATTTTGGCAACCACAACTAGTGACCTTGCAGCTTAGTCATCTAACAAGATCCATTGATTAGGACTCTTGAGCTGCAGCTTGCTTCACTCCCATTTTCTTTTCATCTATAGGAATCTCCAACTTGGTACCAAGGAAGCAGGTCAGTTTTATCAGGCTCCATACTAGCCCTCTTTGAACATTTCTGACTCTTGGCTGTAACTCCTGTATGGGCTCTGAGATGGAGGAAATGGTTGATGAACTTATCTTTTACTTCTCCAAGAAAGAAATACTCACTGAAAAGTACTGAAGTAAAATCTTGAATGTAATGATCGCCTTTAACCTTGAAATCCTACTCATTCAAAATTCAATTCACATGTCATTTCTTCTGTCAAGACTTTATTAGACAGAGTTAGATGTTCTATTATTCATTTATTCAATAAATATTCATTAAGCGACTACTGTTTATCAGGTGCTGGGTGTACATCACCAATTATTCTAATTGGTAATGTCTGTACCCTACCAGTTGTTAAATATTTTTAATATCAGCCCTGTATTGGTGGTTTTAAAAAGACATGGCCCCTGCACTTACAGAAGTTTTAGTCTGATGTTCTTTCATACTTCTGTACTTCTGATATACCCATTATAACACTTAAACATTACTTTATTTTTTTGTCTCTCCTACTAGCCGCTGAGCCTCTCAGAGATAGGAGCCCTATTTTAGTTATCTTTGTAATCTCAGTATTTAGGATGTATAAGCACTAAATAAATGCTTGTTGGATGGATGAATGAGGGAGGGGATGGAGAGAGTGAGGGAATGGACGGACAAATGGATAGATATATGTAAAGTTGAGATTACTTGGTAAGGCACTGAGGGAAGAAAGGAGGATTTCATAACTTCTATTATGGGCAATAAAGATGGAGAGAAGTTTTCACCGAAGGAGTTAGAAAGTCAAGGAATCTCATATGGAAACTTTGCCTCTATATTTTGGAGTAATACCTGTTAATACATAATAGTAAGCAATTTTTGCCCAAAGAAGAAGCTATTATTTCTAAAAACAATGATCTGATTTATCCTCTGATGTGGCACTTAACTTCTACATAGAGATATTAGAGCTGCCTTTTTTTTTTTCCCTTGCAGGTCAATGACACCTCGACCAGTGGGCATTACTTCCCCATCACAGTCAGGTAGAGAGAACATTTTTTGTACAAATAACTGTGTGAAATGAGTAAATATCCATTTCCCATAAGGAAAATAGTTTCCTCTCAGAGATTAAGTGATTTTCCTAATTTTATGTATGATATGAAAAGATTATACAACCAGATAGCCACCTGCAACAGATTGGCTAGGCAAGGCAGAGCACACTATTGATGGCAGTTTTTCATTCTGCACTTTATTCTTTTTCAGTTACTCCACGACCCAGTTCTCAGCATAGCAGCCAAGTGGTCAGGTGAGTAGGAAGCCTACACAACAACATTAAAACTGTTAGCAAAAGTTGGAAGATGAAAGAAATGCCTACACGTGGCTGAGATAGGGACTGAGGAAACTTTGAGTCTATGTAAAAGTTTAACACCAGGTTTGTTTGTTTGTCTTCTTTTTGTCTCACCTTATATAGTCGGCCCTCCTCAGTGGAGTCTATTCCTTATAGAGTGGCTGGTCTTAGTAGCATGGGACAAGTAAGTAATAGTTACCTTCTCTTTCCAGACTGAGATTTCTAATGCTAAATGAAAGCAAAGATTTAAGGCAAGAATATTAAACTTATGTTGGTTTTTGCCATGCCTAGACTCTTCTTTTGGCAATGCAGACCTGATGTTAGAAGCTGACATAGAGAACGAATAGGAATGAAATAGTGGAAGTGTTCAAGGACTAAAGTAACAGTGTCTGTCATGTTCATGTTAGAAGTAGGAAAGTGTGGATCTTTCTTGGACTAGCATATCCACTCCAAGAGAACAAAATATGCTTTAATATGTAGGTGAATAGCAAGGAATATGGAGGCTGGAAAATCAGGATATATTTATTGATTGATATTATTTGTCCATCAGGGAGCCAGAGGCCTTCAGGAAAGGAGCACTCCCAGAGACTCCTATACTGGTGAGAAAGGGGAGAAAAAAGTGTCAGAAACCAACATATTCCCTGCGTACACCATCAGTTTTCTGTGTATCGTATGCCATTTTACTTTGTTTTTATCGAGTGATTCCAGATATCCAAACATATATTACTGCTTTTCAAATAATGATATTTCTGTTCTCAGACTGATAAGGGGAAAATGAAAATCTGAGTGCTAGAAAGTCACTCACTGAAAATTTCTGGTCAGGAGATGGATTACTTGAGTAAATTGACTTGGAATTTTATAATTGCCACGAGGTGGCAGTAGAAGTTAGGTTTAAAAGGAAGGTTAACTAGATGCCGATTATGTTAGCCTGAAGGGTATCTGGCTTCTTCACTGTGTATTAAACGTAAAAATATTCCAGTGAAGAAATATTTTGGTTCCACCCATTAAATTTTTTGACTCTTTCCCCTTCGAACTCTTATTGTTACTCCCGTTTTCAAAGGCATTAGCCAGTCCATAGAGAATATATCGGAGATTTCCTTTTCTTTCCAAAGAGGAAATTTTGTAATTTGCAAATCTCTTTCCGGATTATCATTCCAAATCATTTCCCTCCAACTCTTTCGCATTCACCCCTTTGAAAAATGTAGATGTTCTAGTTAATTTATTTTTATTAGCTTAGTAGTAATATTCCGTATTTCATTCCTGATTTTAGTTATTTGAGGCTTTCTTCCTTTTTTCTTAGACAGCCAGCTTAGACCATTTTGTCGATCATTTCAAAGAACCAAAGATTAGAGCAGAAATTGAGATTAGAGCAGAAATTAATGAATCTGAGAATTGAAAAACAATAGAGAAAATCAACAAAACCAAAAGTTGGTTCTTTGACATACATATTGAAAATCTTTGCTCATCAGTTCCTTTGCCCTGGCCCTGAGTACACCTGAATCCTTTCTCTAGTTGGTGGATTATCTCACAGACTCATTTTATGCCTTTCAGAAACCCCTTCGCCAGCTTCCACTCATAGCATGTCTTATAGGTGAGTAACACTATGTATGCTTCCTTTTATTTGGGATCTCTTTACACTGACACTCTGACAGCAGCCCAGGGGGTTACTTCTCCACTAGCCTGTACCACTGAAGTTTATAATCTCCCTTGTAAACAAAAGAAAAGGTTGAATAGTACTGTGTCTGATATACATCTGAATTACTTAATTTCATTCTCACTTCCAAGCAGGGTCTGTGGCCTAAATGTATAGGCTTTCCCTTTACATATGTTTTTTTACCTATACCTTTCCTTTTCTCTGCTGATGCTTTTATTTCCCCTCCTTAGACCTTCATCTGCATCCTCTGGACTGGGGAGTTTTTCTTTCAGACCACCTCTAAGTGGTGGGGATTCAGGCCACACAAGAGTCCTCACCCCCAACAATTCAGGTGAGTTAAGTAACCCCAAAGGATTTTTAGCTTCAACCATTGACATATATACTAAAATAAGTATTTTCAAGGTAAAAAAAAGTTGGGATTCCCCCCACCTCCCCGCAAAAGAAAGCATTGTCTGTAGTTTGACTCCTTAATATTCTTTTAAATTATTCCATTTCCTTCACAGCGAAGGGAGGTTTTGGATTTTGCCTAAATAGTACTCATCCTATCACCAGTATGGCTATTTAGCCAGAAAGTCAACCTGTAGAATTGCAATTCCTGTTTGAATGTTGCTAGGAGCTCAATTCTGAATGAGAATGATAAAACCAGTATCCTATTTTCTCCCCCATCTTTTTCAAAAAGGTACCAGTCCTCATGATAAGGGGCTGTCCTGCCACAGCACACCAAAATCTTTATATTGTCTCTGCATCTTCCTACTCATAAACTCGAATCTCAGACCTGTCTGTCTCTACCCTGTCCTCACAGGAATAGAAGGGACTTTATAACCCCTCTCTTAGATTGCTTTGCTAATCTAAGCAAATTGCTTTCCCTTTTGAGTAGTGTCCTGCAGATTAAGAACTACTCATTTACCCTGATCCACAAGTAACATTACCGAGGAACTGCCCAAGAAGTTATCTTTCACCATTCCATCCTTCAGGTCAGAGAGAGAGCAGAACCCCACAAGAGAGTCTTCCTGGTTTCCAGCTACCAGTCCTGCAGGTGAGCCCTGGCTAGTCTAACTTGTCTGTGTATGAAATATTCACATGGTTAGGCCTGCACACTAAATGCCTCCTTTTAGTCTCCTTTTAAAGTGGGAGAATATAACCAGTGGAGAATGACATGGATTTCAAGTGGTAACCATATGTACACAATTTTCCAGAATGGTCTCAGTTTGAAGATTCTGTCAGATTAGTTTCCTAATTTGGGGTTTAAAAATTAGGTCACATAGTAGTGAAAGGCTTTAAATTTGAGAGGTCTTGGCCAGGGTGAACTAAGTATGTGTATACAACTGACAGTCCCAAGTTTCACAAAAAAGTGTTCTCAATGGAAAGTATTTTTTGCATAGAAGTACTGCTTTAACTAGGGAGAAAAAGTTTTTTATTTCTTCTGGGATAGCTAGAATAATGTTTTGTAAATTTGATTCTAATCCAGGCAGAAAGGAGGAAAGGGGCCTAGGAAGGAGAAGAGGTTTAAAGGAGCACTATTCAATGAAAAGTCCAGTCTTGCCTTTTAAGTTAACTTTTATGGCTTGGGTTTTGAGGATATTTAAGCCTTTTTTTTCATGCCAAGCTCCTGGTGACCCCAGGGACATACAAAAGTAGATAAATGTTTTGCTCTCATATTCCAAAATTCCCTTTATTTCCATCAGCAAGAAATTAGGGTCTATGCCTTAATAGGCAACACTGGGGAAATAACATCCCTAAGATCCTACAAATGGAAGGATTAACCTACAGATGGGAAGACTTAAGAAACATATAAACCATCTACAAATATATGGGCCCCAATTGAATCATGATTGAAAAGAACTGTAAAAAACATGAGAAAGTTGAGGAAAATTGAATATCTGTTGGACATTTGCTTCTGAGGAATTAAGTTTTTTGGTAGGTATCATGCTATTGTGGTTACATTTCTTAATGTAGTCTATCTTTTGGAGATCAGCACTAAAATATTTATGGAAAGGAAGTTAAATGATTGTCTGGGTTTTGCTTAGTATAATCTAATGGAGAGGGTAGAAATGAAAAATTGGCCATGAATTATTTGTTGATGTTAGGTGATGGGTACATATGAGTTCATTATTACTACTCTACTTTTGTAGTTTTTGAAAATTTCCATAATAAATTTGAAAAGTTATTGAAGGAAGTACCACCTCCCCAGAGGCATAGTTCTGCCTCCCTGGTATAAATCTCTGGGTATGGTAGTAAAGTTCCAAGTCTTCCAAAATAATTTGATGTCTAGCATCTGTCATTAACACCAGAAATCACTGAAATATTGCAGAGTTTTATAAGGAGCAACAAGGCCTTTGTTACAGTAGATGTATCAAATCTTAGTTTGGAATAGTTATGGAATGGAGAAAACTAAGAGGAAGCAACAGTGGTTTGCTGTCTTGATAAACTTAATAAAATGGCTTGAAAGGGCCTGACTTGCCCTTTTGGTTATAAACACCCATTATCTGCCTTCCTGTCCTCTGCTGCAGACTCTCTACCAACAAAGGCAGATGGGAATAGCCAGGGAGAGAGAAGCATGGACCACTCCCAGATAGACCATCTTCAAGGTCTGATCTATACATACTGCTGAAGGACGGACTATAGCATGTAATACCCATTAGACATGATGGCCTTGGGAAATGTACCCCTGCCTGGTTTCTTCTTTTCACTCTGTACTTTTGATCTTGTATTACCTCCTTGGAGTGGTCAGGTTTTATATAAGACTAGTACTTCAGGAAGATGTGTATATTTCTCCTACAAGATACATGTAGCTTTCTCATTTCTTACAATTTGAAACAAAGGTGGTAAAAACAGTTCTTTTCATCCTTGGGGGTGGGAGGTCATATGTTTATTAGCTATTGTTTTATTTCTGGATTTAATTTCTTAGCTTCCCATTCCCCCATTGCCAATGTTATCGAATAATTCTGTTCCTCATCCTAATTTATACTTTTTTTTCTATTTGCCTCATTTCTTTTTTGCCTAGTTATTATTACATATGTTGATTTTCCTGTTAATGGTTGGATACACAGACTTTTAGCTTACTAAAGTACATAGATAATAAAGAGGATTCCCTTTTATTGCTACTGCATCTCTCTTTATTACAAGCTCTAGAATGGTGGAATGGGCAAAGAACACTACTACTGGGATCAAATATTTATTCTTTGGGTACTAAGGGGTAGAAGTGAGGAATTAAATGAGTGGGCCACTGGAAAGCAGGCTTTAAGCAAAAATATTGGCAAAAGAGTGAAGATAGCAAGCATCTTCCAGAAATTAATTAGGTCTTAAGAATGACCTTGTAGTTGAACTAAGACCCCATTACCCTCTCTGGAACTCTGAATTTATTTTTAAAGGCATTTCTAGACACACCTCCCCTTCTGAGCAAGATCTGGTGCTGTAGCAGGTGCAGGAAACAATCTGCTTAGTGATAGATATTGATCTACTACTGCCTTTCAAAGTTTCTGTTCTTTTATCTCAATATAGCCCAAGGTTTCAAAAATAAAGAGCATACTAAATCAGAATGTCAATGGATTTGGCTCCATTACTCTCTAAACGATAGAAGTGGCAAAGTGGAAGAGAGATAAACAATTTTATTTTTGGCTTTTTTTATTATTATTCTAGCAGTTGGGCTTCCACTCTTGTTTCTAGATGGTTAACCCACTGATATCTTTATATCTGACCCCAACTGATGAAAACCATTCTAAAACATCAATAAATTCAGTTAAAGATGTGGCCCCTCTGTCCCTCAGACATCCTATAGAGGGGAAAAGTTTCTTTTCCGGATACAAATTGAATCAACACCAAAAATATGAAAAATCAGTCTCTGTCAGGCTAGGCAGGAGGGAGTGTCAGGCTTGTAAAACCAAACCTAGAACCTACCTGCACAGTCTTCTGAACAGTAGAAACCATTCCCTCTCCTCTCTGTAACCTAATTCTACTTTAATTTTTAAAGGACATCTCCCCTAATTCCCACCTCCAATAAATATCCAGTCTAAATTATTCTCCACCCAGTTATTAAACTTTTTCACAAGCTCCGTGGGGAAGATTTACCCTGAGACATAGTCAACAGAATGGGGATTTTGGAGAGATTAAAAGGTACAAGGCAAAGTGGTCCCAGTATCAGAAATGAAAATATTCTGCTTCCTGTGTGACTCAATAATGAAGCAGGTAAAACATATTAAGCTGGTACGAGGAAGGGGAAATACTTATGAGACTGGGACATACTGAGATTCTTAGCTGCATCATGCATGGACTTGCGCTCAGAGAAAAGAGGAATGCAAGGCAGCCTTATACCAGGGAAAATGATGGGACTAGGGGATGCACTAGAATCATCAAGTGAATCAAAATTCTTTACTCCTCTTTCCAGTCCTCCTATAGACATGGGACTAAGGGCTGGATTCTCTGTAGTACACTGAGGGCTGGGGTGGGGGTGGGGGTGGGGTATGGGTAAGAACAGCAGATATGAAAGAGCCCTTATCCAGCCCAGTTTGGACCAGATCCTTAGCACTCCCTTCGCTGAGGCTAGAGGCCTGCATTTCTGCTCATTCAATCCCCACCTCACTTTGTGCCCTGCGCTCATCCTCCCTGGTCTACCCTCGCTACATCCCCATACCCCAACCTCAAGAACACAGAGCTTTTCAGTTCTTTGCCACAAGGTAATTTTTAAAATGTGGTTTGTTTAAACAGTTACTAAGTTGGTTCATCTTTTAGTAACAGACCTCCCCTCTTGTAGCCCTCCATTCAGTCCTGTATGATGATGTCCTCATCGCTGTCATCATCTTCCTCCTCCTCCTCTTCCTCCTCATCATCATCTGGCAGTTCTTCCTCCTCTTCTTCCTCCTCTTCATCTAGACAAACCACCACCTCAGCTGGTTCAGGTAATCGAGAATCAAACCAATCCAGTACCTGCTGTGTGCTAAGCCTTGATGCCTGACTCAGTTGAGGGACATCACTTTCCTGTAGCTGTTGGTGGGCTGCCCAGTACTTCTCCAAGGGCTGTATATCTGGTGGAGGTGGGGGGATTGGCAGAGGTGGTGTCTCAGCCCATTCATTCAAGGACCGGGTTGAAGGCGGTGGTGTGGGAATTGCTGGGTCCTGAAAACTAGAGGCACCAGGTACTGCGTTGTCCCGAAACCATTTTAGTTGCCCATGCTTCAAGGCATAGCGTGTGTCACCAAACCACTGAATAATCTCAGGCCGAGGTAAACCAGTGATCTGTTCTAATTTATGGTAATCTTCACGCCGTGCCCATTGGCACTGTAAAAAAAATGATTTGAGGATAGCCAGCTGCTCTTTGGTTTTGCGCTTGGTCTTTCGCTGGCGTTGTGTATCTGGGGAAAGATACTCTGCAGGGCCAACCCTACCTAGTACTGAGTTATGCCTTAGCCTCTGGGGCCAGGCTGGCTCCGCATGTGGGGGTAGTGCCTGTTCATTGGGTGACTGTGGCTGTGGGATACACCCCAGTGGTTGGAGGGGTTTAGAGGTGGCTGTAGCTCCATTAGCCAGTACCTGGAGAGAGGAAGAAGAGGTAGAGGAAGAAGGAGTCTCATTAGATGCTGAGCCCTGCTTACAACTACTGGCAAGTAATGAGATTGGTGGGGGCTTATCCGGAGCACATGGCTGGTGGACAGCTGTGGAGTGGTTCCAGGAAGCAGTACCTAGGCCATGTGACTGGTTAGGACCCTTGCCTGCCTGCTCCTTAGAGAAGGCACTGCTTTGAAGATCCTGCCAAAATTCTGATCGGTGGGAGAATGCCCCACTACCAGGTATCATCAGGGGCTCCTTTGCTTTTTGGTGACTCAGTGGCTCTGGGGACTCTTCAGGCTCTACCTTTAATCCTTTCATCTGGCTGGGCTCGCTAAGAGTCAGGGGCACTATTCCAAGACTAACTGGTTCTGGAGGTGGCACTGGAGAAGGAGGCACCTCCTCTGGGGGCCGCCCTGCATGATGAGTAAAAGAGAGAAGGGATTTGAAATGGAGTTGGTCCCTGTGATAGACCACTCGGGCTCGAGTCTCTTCTATTTCTTCAGATGACCAGCTAATGCCACAGCGGAGGCGCTGGGCCATGAACCAAGTCTTGACTTTCTCCATCTGCAGCCCATAGCGTAGGCAGAGAAGGGCAATGTCTGCTAGACTGGGATAGGGAAAGTAGCTGAAAGTTTGTAGCAGGTGTTCATTGCCATCCAGTTCACTGGTCTGGGCAGCTTGGGTCCACACAAGCTGGAGCTCCTCGGAGATTGGAGGGAGGCAGATGAGCCCCGTAGGGGAGGTATTAAGACTGCTGGCCTCTTTGTTAGGAGGCATGGTGCTTTCTGATTTGTGCCCTTCAGAGATAGCTGTAATAAGAAGAGAAACAGCTCAATCAATGGGGTTTCTCTTTTGGCCCATTGCTCTATTTCCACCAAACAAAATGTTGGACCCCAAAACAATCAACTTTCTGTGTGTACTGTGCTGCTCAGCTTTTAAAGTGCTTTAACAATTTCTCATTTAGTTTTCATAACTTCATGAGTCATCAGAATCTGCTAAAATACCCATGTATGTATGAAAAAAACGAAGTCCATAGAAGTTATATTACCCCATCACATGACTAGTGAGTGTTGTCATCAAGACGAAAACCTGTCTTTAAGAAAAGGAAAACATCCTTATATAGCCTTTACCTTTCCAATTTAAACTTGCTTCACTGAGTTCATGGAACCAGAGTCACAAAATGCAGGCCTTAAGCAAAAACAAATGGAGCGGTAATCTCCGAACTGTTACAAATGCTTTAGCTCCTAACAATTATCTCTAGACTGTAGACAGGTTGGGAATACAACATAAGAAAATCTAGAAGGTAAGCACTGTTTTCTGCCCAGTCCCCAGCCCCCTTTTCTTTCCCTTCTTGGTGGTGGCTGTTGGGGGAAGAATGAATAGTTATTTTTAAGCCCTAAGGTCAAACCCAATAGCTTTAGTTTTTCCCAGTAGGATGAGCTAGGTCAGATATCTGGGATAAATGGGGCTTACCCCTCCCTGGGCTTAGGTCCGGTGAGGGTAGAGAGAGGGGAATGTTTCCTTCCCCAAGTCATCCCTGGAACAAAGGTTACCCCTCCCCCCAGCCTTTGTCTCTTCCAACTGCTCACTCTCTCTCCAGGGAGCCTATAGAGCTCCCTCAGATTTTAATGGCCTCCTCCATACAGGGCACAAGGCAGAAGGCCTGCAGCTCTTACCTCTTCAGGCCACCTTTCTTCTCAGGCCCAGGTGGACAGGCTCATTATAAATTGTAACCAGGTCCTGCAGGCCACCCTGCAGCACCACTGTTTCTGGGTATGAGGACTGCAGGGATAGCCCCTGACCATGCTTCATTCCTGAAATACCTGCACAAATTATTTCCTAGAATAATCCTGTTGACCGAATTTTAACTCAGTTCCTAGCGTGCACCTCAGAGATGTTAACACATCTGTAACCTTTTACTCTTCGAGGAATCTCATCTGAGTTTATAAATATTACTTCTGATATGTCAAGGATGGGAGGCAATTCCTACGTAAATGCTACATGATGAATTGAGAAAAACCTCAAGTCCAGAAAGTTAAAATAGAGCAGTGTAATATCAGATTTTATATGATGATTAGAAAAATTCGGAAGTATTTTAATGTGTCGCTATTCTCTTTTAACAAGCAAATCTTAACTCAAGGCCATGCAGATCCTAAAGGCAATACAGCTTGAAAAGAACCTTAAAAGGGTCAGTGGAGGCAACATGGCACAGTGGGTAGAAATATGATCTTGAGTAAGGCCAACCTGCAGTTTGTACTCCAATTCTGCCATCGCTATGTGATCTTGGGCAAAAGTTACTGAACGTATATGAGCCTGTTTCCTCGTGTGTAAAAAATGGAGACAGTGCTGAGTGTATATAAAGTTATCTTTTTTTTTACTGAGCACCTATTATGTGCTAGGTGGCATGTGTAGGCAGGGCCTAAAGCAGCTGTTAGAGGTGGATGTCTGGTTTGAGAGTAATCGAAGGTCCACTTCCTAGAGTGCTGCTTGTCCTTGGGCAAGTTATTTAACTTTCCTAAGCCTTGGTTTCCCATCAGAAAAAAGGGAGGTCACAACAGCACCTATCCACAAGATTATGACTAAAATGCACTTGATATTGTGACTATTACAAAATAAAGCCTCAATAAATAGCAGCTTTTATCTTCAGCCTCTTGGGGTGATTCTGATATAAAGTAATGCTCCTCCTAGACAATGGGGTAAGTGAGGCAAAGAATCCTTTAAAATCACGTTTTATTTTTGTAGTCATAATTTTATCTAATGAGCACTGGAGGAAACCAGGTGTCTGTGATTTTATACTACTCATGTTTTGGAAGTTGGATTAAATTCTGGAAAGGGTTTTCCTGCTTTAAAAAAGTATGAAAATCACCGCTTTTAGGAGAATTGCCAGTGTGGTAGCTCTACCTTTAACTTCCAGGTTCATCCCAGACACCGCTGAGTGGCGTGTGAGGAACTGCTTAAACAGCCAGGTGCTAAAGCACCATTTAGATATTGTGGCCCACCCGGAAAACCACCAAACCTAAGCTGGAGAATACATTATGACTGCAACACTTGACATGTACTTAACCTTATTTGTGTCCTGTTCCTTAAGGACATAACACTTTGGATACGAGAAAAATATAGTATAAGGGATAAAGCAGTCCAGTGTGAGGATGAAGACTGCCAGACAGGAAATAAAGCAGGCACAGCTACAAGCCTATGAGGAAGCATTTTTGCTTTCATTCATGTAGTTTGCTGTCCTTTAGATTCTCATGGCATCATCTTGATATTTCATATAACATACAATAATACAAATAAGATATTTGGTGTACTGTATATATCTACAGTTTTCCAATTACACAAAACACATCATGGAAGACAGTACAGAATGGTGGCATAGCTGGTAACTTTCTGGAATAATCTGGCTTTGAAATAGGAAGAAACTATAACCAGATTGGCTTATAAGAACTATTACAAGTAGGGTAGACTCTACAGTGATCCAAACCACAATGAAGACACTTCAGTGTCTTGTGTTCTTGTGCCTCCATTTGAAGAAGGTAGGAAAAGAAGGGAATCAAAGCTGCAGAAATGACTCCTACAGGCAGAGTTGGCGGTGGTGGGATTATCAATTCTGAATAATTACTAAATTTGTATTCTTATTAAATATGCCAGATATGCCCTATTGCTCCTTAATATCACTCATAAAAAAGTCAGGACAATGCCCTTCTTTCCCTTTGGACTTTTCATACCCCTGGGCAGATGGCAGAAAATAATAGGCTGCCTTAAACTTGGAGTCTAGGCGTTCACACAATCCTAGGAAAAAAGAGGTGTTCAGAACTTTAGGCTTGAGCCTTTGCTTATGGTTAAAGCAGGAGACAGTTACAGTGAGACTAGATATGATCCTGCTAAATTCCCTAAGTCTTTATTCAGAGAACTAAATTACTGCCTGAAATGTGTTTTGGTGATACAGTTTTAAGGGCCTTAAAGGACTTTTAGTGATATTCAACTTATGTGCTTCTCAACTTTTTGGATTGTGAACCTCTTTGTGAATCAGGTATAACTTATGGACCCTGAGAAAGTTATGACTTCTCCTCCCCAAATAAACATTCACACTTACACATTATATGTGTAATCTCAGGGGGTTCACTGGTTGCTCAGAAGCCTAGCCTAAGAACCTCTGCCTTATGTTCTCCCAACTCAATAAAGGCAATGGTGGTTAACTGCTTTAAGAGGAACAAATAGCTTCATGTGAATGAATGGAGAGAGTGGATGGAAGACTCAGGAGAATTTACACAAGTGGGTATTGGTGATATTAGCTGGAGAGAGTGGAAGGAGAGGGGTGTTCAATTGGGCCAGGAACCTGGCTTAACTGACCCACTAGAATACATGACCAATACGCAAAGTGCACTGGATACTATAGGCTGGTAGTCTACTCTCTAGTGTGCCAAAATCATCTGCTTCCTTCAGCTGCCCTGTGTGCTTGGGCCAGTTGTATGTGATTCCAAACCTGCTTATGCCCGTTGTTTTTCTGTATTTATATAATGTAATTAAACATCACATAAACCTATGAAAAATTAGTGCATTAAAAATGGTTCCAATGAAAACAAAGTCAAATGCTTTGGAAAGACATAAAGGAGTATACATTTTAAAAATTGTTGAGTTGGGAATAGGCAAGACAACTATAAAAGACTGGAAAGGTAGGGGACTTAAAAATCTCAAAAGGATTCTGCATTCAGATTGCTTCAACAGTGTTGAACTTCTCACTCCACTTTAAAGAAGCCAAACCTGAAAATCATAGATGATGAGAGGCAGTGGCTACCATCTCAGACTGCACACTAGAATTACCTGGAAACTCAAAGCAAGGAACCCTCCTCCTCATTCTGACTTAATGAGCCTGGACTGGGCCCAGGCATCAGTAGTTTTAAAAAGTTCTCAGGGTGCAGCCAGATTTGATTTACTTGTGTAGGTAATTCTAGAAAGACAACTGGGAATTCCAATTAGCAAACTTACACAAAGAAAACACCTGGACACTAACCCAGAAGATTGGTGAAATGAACATACTTTTAATGACAAGACTTAAGGTATGTTTGCATCATTTTTAAATTCCCAACTTTAATTGGCTTATTTTGATCAATTACTGCCATCTACCTATCCTAATCATATAATATAAAAGGGCTTCAAATGTATGGTGAACAGGAGATTCATATGATAAAATATCTACTAGTCTGGGCCCACCAACCAGGTCTCAGCTTGAGTCGTCTTTCAGTTTAGAAGTCTCAGATTAGGACGCAACCCCAGGAACCTCTGAGGACTCCGGTTCTCACTTTCATGGTTGGTTTTGAGTAGGGGGTCGGAAAGGGCTGTTCCTCCTAAACCTTTCATTCCCAAAGGCCACTCACTGCTCCCCAGAAGGCAGGCCAGGTTTCCGAGCGTGTGTTGAGGTCGCCAGGAGGTAGTCATGGGGAGGAGGGTGGCCTGGGGAAGGAAACGTTTCTCTTATCCTCCATTTCACAGGCAGTCTATAGGGCTCCAAACTGGGTCAGAGAACAAAAGTTGCTGCACTTAGGGCGATGAGCCCCAGAGAGCAGGCGAATCTCAATCTTCCCCTCGCCAAGGGCGTCCCAACCCAACCTTCCCCTCCTCCCTACACACCCACTCACCCACCCCCAGTTACAACAGGAAACCGAAAAGTCCAGAGGAGAAAGGAGAGAGAACTGGGCGAGTTCGAAACTCGAATTCTCCTTCCCCCAGCGCGGGGATAGGGCTCCGGAGGTCGGAGATCGTACGGGGGGGCTGGGAGGGGAAGTCGAAGGGGCTGGGGATCACTCACCGCGGTCTGGCCCGGGCGGCGGCTCCCAGCCTCGCACCATGGGCCGCGGGGGAGGGGGAAAAGGGCAGGGGGCCTCCGGGATAGGAGTGGGGTTCCCGCCCGGTGCGGCCTGCTCCGAGCCCACCCGCACGGAGGGCCGGGACCGGGACTGCCCCTCCCGCCCCCGAGAGCGCGCCCGTCTAGCCCAGCCCTGCTCCAGCGAGTTGGAGGCGGGGCGGATGGGTGGGGCGGGCTCCAGGGGCGGTGCCAAGGTAGCCCGAGTCCCGATTGGTGGACGCAGGCAGGCGGGCACCAGAGAAACGCACTGGGCTGGCCATTGGCTGCGTGAGTCTCGGCTGAAGTCGGCTATTGGCTGCGTGGGCTTCAGCCGGGGTGGCTATTGGGTGCGTAGGGCAGGAAAGATGTCCTCCGGGGCCAGGGTGCTGTGAATGGTACCTTCCCCCCACTCTCGACCTAGCGGCGTCGGACCTTCCGAATACACCGGGCCGTGTTCCTCCCAGAAACCCTAAGGACTTCACAGCACTTCGCTGAAGTGTTTAGACCGCCAACGACTACTTCCCATTTGTTTCCTCCTGAAGGAATACCTTTTCAGCATTCCCTTGCCCGCCTTACACAGGAGCCGCACCTTCCCAGCAAAGGGGCCAAACGCTGTCAGCAGCGTCACTGTAAACGAAATGCCTAGAGCAACAGGGAGCTTGTTCTCGAGATGGAGCAAATGTCTTGCCACCTGGAAAGACGGGATACTAGGAGCGTGGCACCTTCGGCTGCTTCTCGGGTCCAGCTGGCACCGGACAGGTGTTCCCACTGGAGTGCCGGACAGGTCACCTCGTTGGGACTTACCAGACTGTCAGGCCCCCCTTCCTGCGCTTAGTAAAGAGGAGGTAGAGCTACGCCTCATATTTGAGGACTTTGGTTTTCGCTGCCAAAAAAGGGATGACAACGAAATAGAATTTCCACCAAAGTATTGTTCCACACACTCCGAAATTCTGGGCCAAAAGTTTGTGTAGTTAGGATTCTGTCTTCTGACTGAAACTTGAGAACAGAACTTTCTGAAGTGACTTTTCTGTTCTTAACGCTGATCTTTGAAAAAGTCTCTTCTTGCCTACTCAGGTCACTTAATAGCTTATATAAGATGCAATCATTTATAAAAGTTTCAGACTTTGCCCTGTATTCTGCCGACCTCACTCCTCCACATGTACCCCCAAAAGGCAACTACCATAACTGCTACTTCTGATTCTTAATTGTTCCACTCTAAGATTTAGAGCTCTTCTGGGTTGCCAGACATCAGAAATATGTCTTTTCAGCTCCAAGCCCTATTTTCTGTTGCTGGCCTTGTATTTGACCCTGCCTCCCCCATCTACCTCATTACATTTAGTAACAATCTTAACTTCTAATAGCTGGCCCCAAGTCCTTCAAACTGGTTTTTAGCAAAAACAGAGGAGTAAGCAAGGGAAAAAGATACACTCAGCTTTGGAGTTAGAAGCTTTTGATCCCTTAGGGTTTATATTAGCCAAGGCTGGTAGTATATACAGACCTCCTAAATCGCAATTATATGCCCCAATGATGTGTATGTAATGAAAGGAGGAAAAAGCGAAATATTTTAGGCAGCGGCAGTCCTGTTTCTAGTGGAGAGGTCATTCTCTCATAATCCAAACAGTAGGACTAGAGATTGGGAAGAACTTGTGCTTGTTTGGCTGGAAAGCCAGGCAGGAATTGTCTGTGGGAATTTAGTTCAGTCACTCTGAGTATCACTGATCACAGGCTTGGAATTATGATAGGTGGAGAACTCAGCCACATTTCTTGTCTCAGAAAGACACTCACTCCTGAGAGTCAACAGTAGGGCACAGAACTCAAAAGAGATTTTGGAGAGAGAGAACCGAAGGAAAGAAGAAACTCCTCTGCCCTAGTTCTGGAGTGCAGGCTGATGCCTCCCTCTTTTTTGTTAAAGTGTTAAAAGATGAAGTGGACTGGGTGGGAGAGTGGGAGAGAGGAAGAGGCAAACAATATCAGAGAAGGGAGGGTCCCACTGTTAGCAAGACAATAACTCTCTCAGCTCTACCAGGAACTAGTGCTGAAGAATGGGGACTCATCAAGTCATCCTGTTAATCCCCCATCTTTGGTAAATCCTCCTTCCTATCCTGTGGTTCAGATATTAGAAGGAATGACTAGAGGCACATTTACCCTATAGCTAAAGGAGCTGAAGTTTCTGGCCCTCCCTTGCACAGATCTCTTCCAAAGCAGTGGAGGAACCCCAGCAGTATCATAGCTTTTTGTAAAATTGGAGAAAGCATATTTAAACTGTAATTGGTTAGGGTTGATCTCTTTGACTTGACTTCCCTTCCATCACACTTTCCTTTTTGCCAGGTGTAAATAGAGGGAGCCTTGGGCATTTTGGGATTGGCTAAGGAAGTTAAGGATAGTTTGAGTTTTATAAGTATACATCTGTGGTTTGCAGTTAATTTCTGTGAATAGTTAAATGGTAGGTATAGTGTGGGTTAGACTTTGACCCCCCCATTCATTAAGTCCTGTATCTAGATATAAGGTCTGTAAAGAGGTCAATTAGGTTAAAATGAGGTCTTTAGGAAGAGTCTTAATCCAATGACTGGTGTCTTTATGATACAAGGAAATTTTGAAAGACATACAAGTAGGAAAGGCTATGTGAAGATATAGTAAGAAAATGGCTATATATAAGCCAAGGAGAGAGAAACCTTAGAATGAAATCAATCTTACTAACACCTGTATCTCAGACTTTTAGCCTCTAGAACTAAGGGAATTTCTGTTGTTTAAGCCACCCAGTCTGTAGTATTTTGTTATGACAGCCCTAGAAAACTAATACAGATAGCTTCTAGGAATACTCCTGTCCACGATTCAGAGTACTGCAGGTCTTCAAATAATGTGTCATTCAACATAATTTTGTTGTAACATTGTTGAGATGCCATAGGAACTTAACTTTTTAAATATCAATTAGCCTGTGGCAAAGTTGGCTTTATTAAACGTCATTATGCTTAAAGTTGCAAAACCTATCAACACATTAAATGATGAGTTACTGTGACATTAGTCATTGCAAATTTGAAATTCTCTAAAATATTATTCCACATATACTAAAGAAATTTAATATTTTTTCAAAGTTTGACAAAAATCCTAAAAAATGACATGGCATTATCACTTGTAGGTGTGAAGGTGAAATGTTCCTAAATTATCAAGAATTTCAAAAAAGTAATCATGTAGAAGACTGAATTACCTTTCTATACTCTTTATGGAAAACATTATAGTCATCATATGAAAATGCTATCAAAGACCATTCAACCAAAAACAAAACTGTAGGAAAGAATATATAGGTTTACCAGGTAGAAGTTTTTAAATTTATTTTTCTTGACTTTGTAATGTTGTGGTATGTTAGCTTTTTTAAAATTGTAATTTGTTCACATCTTTTCTCATTGTAAAGTATATTCACTTTTGTGACTGTATTTTTTCTTTAAAAAGGTCCAAAAGTTGTATGCTTAAGGGACCCAAAAAGTTGGATCTACCCTGGGACTTCTAGCCACATAACCAAATGGATATGCCAAGTTTCTGCCCTATTTAGTGTCTTCTGTTCTGTGCCTTATCTCCTAAGAAATACCAGAGCTGAGGGCTGGCCCATCAGAACTGCAAGTATTGAGGATTTGGAATAGCATAAGCTGCAGTGAGTTTGTGGAAGAAAGATTCCAGACGGAACTACTGCCAAACTAAGATATAATAAGTCTAGAAAGACATTAGAGCCACAGGACCCTAGACCATAAGCCATGGTGAGAACCCCTGGAAAGCCCCCACTTACCTCTCCTTGGGTGTCTGCTCCTCATGCTGAGTCTACCCTTCAGCATATCTGGTTTCACTTACAACACATATCAGAGTGAGTAACCTGCAGTGACATCACAACTTGGCTATTATGATGTAATGAGGCATCCGATTATTCAGGCTAGGGCTTCCCTAGTAAGGACGCTGTCTCATTTCTTTGCTGGTAATTGGATTCTTTCATAATTCAGGTGATGTGAGAGTCAATCTTATGTAAGAACTTGATCTTTTTCAAGGATGCCTCCCTTTACTATCTATTTCTATTGCTCCATTTTGGATTAGACAGAGGTCCCCCCTTGCTTTTCCTCCCTATCATATTCTCGTCCTTTGCTTTAGGGTTGCCTTAACAGGAAAAAGGGTTTTGCTCTTCTCTCCAGTGCCTAAGGAACAGAATGTAACTTAGATTGCGACCTTAAGGAAGAAGAGCCCCAATGCAAAGAGAAACACGGGGCTTCTACCCAAGCTGTTCCCTTTAACTGTGCCATCAACTGGTGCTGGGTGCCAGAGAACTAAAGTACTGGGCCCTGGTAACCTCTACCCTTACCTCAAATGGTGATGGGATCCTGTTGGGGTGTCTTATACCAGTGGCTATCCAATTCCCCCATGTCTCCTTCTCACTCAACTTTTGCATAGCCAGAGGACTCTAGTAGACAGGGAATAGGACTTTGAAGAAATGAGATGACCAAGAAATGGGGAGTGGGAAGAAGGAATCTTGCTTCTGGGTCTTGTCACCCTCAGCCCAAAACAAACAGTACTTCTCAATATCTGATGATATACACTCTTTTCATATTTCAACTTTATTTCAAATATGAGGTCTTTTATCCAGGAGGGAGAACAGGTGCATGAGGAAGCTGAAGTGAGCCACAATACTAGGGCTTGGGGCCCAGTAAACAGGGCTGCACTATGAAGGGAGTGGGGAGGCTCTGGGAGGGCCTGATGAGAACAGTAGTTTGGGTTAGGGGGATTCACATAGCAAACTTTCCTTTCCTCTCCAGGTTAGCTATTCAGTGGGTGGATTATTCAGTCTTGTTAGCAATTTCACTCTTCTTTAGCAAAATCACTGAAAGAAGTGCCAAGGCTGGGGACATAGAGAAAAACTACCAGTCCCTTTTCTTTCTCCTTATACCTGAATGGAGAAGGGAATGGAAACTAGTAACAGAAAATGAAACATTTCTGATGTTATCCCTTGCTGTGAAAAATCATGAGTCTGACTATGCAGAGGCCTGTTTCGTAGCCTGGGAATGGGATGTGGTCAGGCCTGATCGTAAGCTCCATCTCAAGCTACCCTAAAAAGTTATTTGACTCTACTGGAGTCACTTTTCATCTCTGGACCTGTGTCCTCATCTGTACAGGAGCCTGGACCCAGTGATTAAAGACAAGCATTTTCAGGTCTGATTCTATGACCTGTGGATTACAAGGATCCAGAGAAGCTCCAGAGAAATAGGAATTAGAAGAAAGGATTGTGGCAGTTAGATTGGAAAGTTGAGAAATTAAGGCTCATTATGAAGAGAAATGAACCACATTCATAAAGAGAAACAAAGCAAAAGGAGGCTATCAGACATCTGAGATCTGGACAAGAGGAAAGGGCAACAGTGTTCCTGCTGCGTTTCAAGGACCCAAGCCCCTGACCACAGTAATGGTTTCTCTTGTGGCACTTCCTAGTCCACAACTGACATATCATACTCTAAATTGTGCCTGTTCATATAGTCATCAGCCTTTAGACTAAAGTGCCCACCACAATGCCTAACACATAACACATCCCTAAAGATTCCGCCAAACTCCTAGCATTTCCCATGTCAGATTAGGCTATCAGTTTACACTAGGCCCTGGGGCAGCACTAGATGGGAACAACCAGAAGACTCAAGTGTTGGGTCTGTAAAGCTGAGAATGGGGGCGTGAGTGAGCCATAGTACTTCTTACAAAGAGCTCAAGAAACAATGGATTATCCTTGATTTCCTGCCCCCATCCAGCTTTCATTTATCCACTCAGTAATACCACGGCTCTCGGAGGAGGCCAGAGCACAGAACACCCAGCAGTTGTCCTAGCTGGGAAATCCTTCCAGCATAAAGTTTGGGCAATTAGCCTGTTCAGGTCTAGTTGGGGAAAGTGGGAATGGGTGTGGCATACCAACAGGTGTGAAGGGTTGGCTAGGACCAGGGAAGAATGCCATTGTATGGAAAGGCTACCTAGTACAAATGAGTTCCAAGTTCTCTAACAGGCAGGCAGATTGGTCCCTTGCTGATCCTGCAGAGCTGGGACACTGGCACAGGAGATAGTAGCAAGCTCTTGTAAGGAGCAGATGAAGCTTGAGACCCTCAGTGCTTTGCCTTCTCCAAGCCAGTTCAGAGACTGGAGGATGGGAAGGCAGAGCACAATTAGAAACTGTGGTTTCTTCATAGTAACAGATGATATATAGCAAGGTTTTTAATTTTGTTTTTAAATGGAAAAAATATAACATTATGGTTATGCACAGAGGTTCTGGAGATTGCTTGGGTTCACATCCCTAGCTCTGCCTTTTACTAGCTGTGTGATCTTAACGAATTACTGAGCTTTTCTGAGCTGTTTCCTCATCTCTAAAACGGATAATATTCAACTCATGGGGTTGTTTTAAAGATTATAATGCATGCAAGACACCAGATTTTAGTGGATACATAAGTAGATGTGAGTTGTTATGATTAACATAACAGTAATGCATACACATTAAGCAAGACATTACTACACACTGAGCCTCAACCCAGTCTCCCTCTCCATTATCCTCCCTTGGGCTCTTCATTGTTGACTAACAAGTGCATTGCTTGGTAGCTCCCAGCGGTTTCATTCTTCACTCTGTTGGAACTTTGACCTGAAGGTGATCCATAAGATGCATGAAATTGTGATTTCCTAGATAAGGATGATGTTTAAATGGGCATTTGTTTGAGAAATGACTTGGGGTTCCTCTCTTTCAGCTATCTTTCTTTAAAGGAAGTGGCTTTGGACAGGAGGGACATGGTAACAAGCCCCATACTCTATCCCAAATGCATGTACAGGTATATGTGCATGCACTGTCTCACTGGTAAGGAAGGGCGATAGGGGACAGGGGCAATAGGGGATCTTGAAATTTTCCTTTGTGAAATCAATAACAGATAGGAAAGAGGGTGGCGAGCTGGTTACCTGGGAGCTCCTTGTTCATCTGCATCAGGAACTGCTGCTTTTCCCTCTTCTCCCTCTAGAAGACTGTCAAGGAGCCTGAGGAAGGAAGGTGGATCAACCATGGTCTTGGAGAAAAGGAAGTAGGTTTTCCACCCCTTCTGGAGGGAGAAGGAATAGCACAGAACAAGTATGAGACAGACACAATTGGTAATAGAGGAAATGAAGGTGAGTACTCTATTATACTAAAAGAAAAATGAAAGCGATGAGGACAGGAAAAGAAAAAAAACAAAGAGTGAGGAATAGGGTGCTAGGAAAAGGAAAACAACCAGCAGAGGTTAATCAGGGAGACATAAAGCATGAATGTGAATGGGTAAGAGTCTAGCTTTCCCATTTCACTTGCTCAGGATATGGAGCAGACATCTCCAGGTGCCATTTAATTTTCAAGTTGCTTTGCTTCTTGATTTAAAATGTTTTCTATTTCTGATACACATAATTCCTTATCCTCAAGAGAGCCCCCAACATTGCTTCATGTTTGGGGCTCCCAAGCATCATTTTCCCCGAGAGATGTATCTCCCCAAAGCTGTCTCAGAGCACCCAGGTTGCAAGTCTGTGGGGACCAGAGCAAAAAGCAAGGAGCAAAGGATGGACTGTGGTTTGAAAGAAGCCTGAATACCCTGAGGCTGTGAGATGGTTTGAGGATGCTTCCTGGGTTACGTAATATATAACATCTTTGTCAAAAACTGGACGACCCATCCTGAATGCCAACCAAACACTCAGGGGGTGCTGTGTTCTGATCTATAGTATTCCAACTGCTGGTTGGAGAATGTGGCTTCTAATCTACACTCTGCCACTCCCAGATCATAAAATGTCAAAAGCAAGAAGGGGCTGTAAGAGATCAACCAATCCAAATCCAATTTTCCAAGGAGGAAATGTGGCCCAGAGAGGTGAAGGAACTTGCCCAAAGTTACACAGCTAATGAGTCATTTCCTTGTGTTTTGAGGGAGAATCAGCAGTGATTCTTGTAATTCACTGTCCCTTGACAAATACAGTCCATAAAGTGCTTAGAGGTCATTAGAAGGAACCCCAGGAAGGTAAGGCTGGCATTTTTCTGGAAGCCCCTGAGTATAATGACCCTTTAGGCAATGCATTATTTGGCTACAAGGACAGGCCTGGAGTTGGGTTTGTCTTCATTTTAACCTGCAGGGCTGCAATGAAGCTGAAGGAGGGCGCTCTGACTGCTACCTGCCATCACTCCCCAGTCAGTTATCTGAGACCGAAACCAGGGACCCTCAGGGATGAAAAGGGGATCCTGTCATAATGCCAGACTGGGGAGCAATAGCCAAGTTTCTGGGACTTCAGCAGGCAATTATGGCTGAGTTAAAGCTAGGACGGACAGGGCTGGGGGACCTGAGGTAGCAACGATGGGTAAGAAAAGGGAATGAGCCAGCAATTTAAACGACTTCAATTTTGTGTGGGCTGCTACTTCACACAAAATACCTCCGCAATCTCAGAATGGTAGCTTAACCTTCGATTGCCTAGACCTGCAGAACTCTCTCCCAGTGCCCACTCATGGAAGAGAACGTCACCATCATCCCCATTCTTTTGCTTTTTGGGGGGATCCTTCCAGCACCCTTTCTGGTCTCTTTTCTCCTATACCTTGGATTCTTTCTACTCACATCCAACTGGTGCTTTCCACCCCTATCGCCCCGACCTTCGCTGATCCCACCCACTCCCACAACCCTTTGATTTCTCCCCGACTTGACTCTCTCCCGACAGCTCCCGGCCAAATCTTCGGGCTCCCCCAGCCCCCGGGTGCCTTTGCTTTCTCCGCCGTCGGCCGCAGTTGTCTCAGATAAAGTGAATCCAGCCCTGAGGCTCCGGAGTTCCGCAACTGCCCGGGTGCTCGGGCCCACGTAAAGCATAGTCACGGCCGCTGTTGTTGTCCCAGAACTCGTGGCCCGTCACGCGGTAGCGCAAAGCGAAAAGCAGGGCACCCCCAATGGGCGGCGCGGGCAGACGGAAGGCGAAGCGGTCAGCGCGCGGCGGGGGCGGGGCCGGGCCGGCATAGGCAGCGGGCGCCTCGCGTTGGCTCCGCCAGCCGTCTGCACTCCAACGCACGCTCACGCGTTTCTCGTAGGCCAAGTCCAGCACGCGCGCACTGCCAGCCACTCCCAGCGGGCCCGCCTCGGCGCGTTCCAGACAGATGCGCTGCGCCTGCAAGCGGGCGGCAAAGCCGGGCTCGCTGGCCGGCTCCAGGGCGGCGCGCGCCTCCTGGGGACGAAAGAGGGAGAGAGGGAGGTTGGAAGCCCAGCGATGAAAGGACAGAGATAGGGGCGGGAACGGACGAGGCACTGGACCAATCCAAGGCCGACCCTGGAGTCCGGGCCATCAGAGTGCGACCCAGCTGTGAGAGTGGCCTAGAGTCCCTCCCTCGCCAGTGGGGACCCCAAAAGGGAAGCGCAAGAGCAAGCCCAGGATTGGGGGTGGGGATGGGCATTCCTTGAGAAATCCACTCCCCCACGCCCGCCACCGCTGAGACGGAGAGATCCGGGAGAAGGGGCGTGCCCCTGCCGCTCACCTGGAGGCCGCGGGTGCGGGACTGGCACGGCACGAAGTGGCGGAGGGCGTCCCTTTGCAGCTGGACCTGTACGTGGCGAGGCACCCGGGGCAGCTCTCCAGGGCGGAAGCGGCGCACGGCGGCCAGCTCCAGCCCCAACGCGTCGGCGAAACGCACTCTCTTGCGGGTATCTGGGCTGCGGCTGCGGGACGCCCGAGCACCGCCGCTTCCGGCGGGCGCAGAGCGAGCCCTGCGGCCCCGACTGGAAGCAAGAGCGCGGGATCGGGCCCCGAGGCGTGTCCTGCCCTCGCCTGGCTCCTCCTCTGGCTCCTCCTCGAGGCTGGGCCGCTGGCTGCGGTAGTAGGCGCGCTCCGTCAGCGCAGCGATGAAGCTCAGGTTGCGGGGGATGTCGGTGCGGGGGGGCCGCTCGCGAGACATGGCACCCCCCGCCTCGGCAGATCCCGCCTGCAGCGCCGCCGCGCTGCCCTCCCTTCCAATGGCCCGCCCTCCCGGCGTTCACGAAGAAGCCGCCAGGCCCACTTCAGCTACCCCTCGCAGTTGCGTACTCTCCTTGCTGTCACCTCCAGTTTCCTCTACCTCTCGTACTTCTGCCTCTCCTCCTTGACTACCTTTTTCTCCTTCTGGCCATCAGCTCCCAGGGTCTTAGACGATCACCTGTCTCCTGCAAACTGTCTGCTCTGAGCGTGCGCTCAGCGGCACACACCCTCCGGTCTCGCGGCCGTCGCGGCCGGGGCCCCCGCCCACAACCCTCTGACAGGTGGCTCTCCATCTGTCTTCGCTACTGCTGCTGCACCAGTGGGCGGGGACTCCACCCTTTCCATCTTGAATGAGACCACTCTGCCCCCTCCCTTTCCTTTTAAAGGCCTCAACCTTTCTGGCACGGGATATGTTAACATAGGATGTAAAGAGTAACGTTTTATTGTCTCGGAGGGGTAAGTCCAAACGCTCAGTGTGTGACTGACTTTTCAGGGCTCACTGTTTTCTCTTCGAAATCCTGGGCTCCAGGCTTTAGAGGAGGAGAATGGTGAGTACAAAGAAGGGAAGGTCATAAAAACTAGGTAGAGTCCCAAATAAAAGCTGAGATGTGCTCACAAGGGTGGGTTGTCCACTGGAAAGAGTTCTGAACAGAGAATTGTGGAAAGACATAGCTTCTGGTCTCACCTCTGGTGTTATTTAGGTGCATGACCTTGAGCAAGGCACAACTTCTCTGGACCACAGTTTTCTCATTTGTAATAAAGTGGATTAGAGTTCTGATCTCTAACCTGACTGTAAGCCCTTCAAGGACAGATGCTGTGTTTGACTCATAGTCTCAGCACATAGTAGGTCCTCAAATTATTGAATGAATGAGCACACTACTCTCTTGGAGCTGGGACTGTAAGGTTCTGGTTCCAGTAAGAGGTTCCAAGAAGGGCACAGATCCCACATTTTTATTCATTTTTTTCTACATTAGTGAAAAAAAGCATGTGAAGTTTTATTTTTTTCCTAACTTCCCTACTGATCTTACATAGCACTTACAGTGTGTTAAATATGGTTGTAAGAATTTTACAAACGTTAACTTATATAGTACAGCCATCATAGGAACAGAGAGTATTATTATGGCTCT